TCGCGCAAGACCTCGTCAATAAAGCGTTGGAAGGTCTGGCCGGCATTACGCAGGCCGAAGGGCATGCGGACCATTTCCCACAGGCCGAAGGGTGTGGTGATAGCGGTCTTCGGCACGTCGGACGGCTCCACGGGTATCTGGTTGTAGGCCCGGTGGAGGTCGAGTTTGGTGAAGATGGAGCAGCCGTGCAGCTGAGAGGCGAAGTCCTGGAGGTACGGGAGAGGGTACCGGTCGGGGACGGTGGCAGCGTTGAGAGCCCGGTAATCCCCGCACGGGCGCCACTCGCCAGGAGTGGCCTTCGGTTCCAGGTGGAGCGGCGCAGCCCAACTGCTCTGTGACGGGCGGATGACGCCGAGCCGGTAGAGCTTGGAACCTCGACCACCCCTGGACGACTTCGAGACTCTGGCGACGGCCCAGCAGACCGATCGGGAGCTCCAGGCGTTCGTCGCCACTCGTCACTCCCTCCGCCTGCGCTCCGTCGAGCTGCCCAGTGGTTCAACGCTGCTGGTGGACGAATCTACAGGTCGCCCTCGGCCACTGCTGCCAGAGGCCCTCCGGCGACCCTACTTCCGCCTTCTGCACAGCCTGTCACACCCGGGCGTCCGTGGCACCCAGCATCTCGTCGCCCAGCGATTTGTGTGGCCCGGTATGAACCGTGACGTCGCGACGTGGACGCGTGCGTGTCTCCAGTGTCAGCGGGCTAAAGTGCAGCGTCACACGCGTACCCCAGTGCAACCGTTTCCGCTGCCGGCGGCACGGTTTGACCACGTGCACATCGACCTCGTGGGTCCGTTGCCCCCGTCGGACGGTAACCAGTACCTGCTCACCTGTGTGGATCGGTTCACGCGCTGGGCAGAGGCGCTGCCCTTGCCGGACATTCGTGCAGTGACAGTCGCCCGCGCGTTCGTCTCCGGATGGGTGGCCCGTTACGGCGTGCCGTCCTGCGTCACTACTGACCGAGGTGCACAGTTTGAGTCCAACCTGTGGGACCACCTGTCGCAGATCCTCGGCTGCCACCGCATTCGCACCACCAGTTACCATCCGCAGAGCAACGGTCTGGTGGAACGTTTCCACCGTCAGCTGAAGACTGCACTGCGTGCGGCTGATCCGCCGGTCCGCTGGACCGACCTCCTGCCCATGGCTCTTCTCGGCATCCGGTCGGCGCTGAAGGAAGACCTGGGCTGCACGCCGGCGGAGCTCGTCTACGGACAGCCTCTGCGCCTTCCGGGCGAACTCGTCTCTGCTGCGTCAGGTCCGACGCACCTGGATCCGGCGTCCTACGTGGACGAGCTGCGCCGGGCCATGCGCCGGGTTCGACCGGCGGCCCCTCGATCTCCGTCCTCCGTGCCTGTGTTTGTGCCGAGTGAGCTGCTGGACTGTCAGCATGTTTTCATTCGGCGAGACTCCTCTCGCCCACCGCTGACGCCGCCGTATGACGGTCCCTTTCGCGTGGTGCGCCGTTCAACCAAGACTGTCACCGTGTTCCGTAACGGTCGTAATGATACTGTCTCGCTGGACCGTGTCAAACCCGCCTTTCTTGATGCGCCGACTGCTACTCCGAATCATTGCGACCCGCCCCGTGACGCGCCGGGCCCCAACACTGCGGTGCCAGGTTCGGGACCTAAGCTCCTACTCCCATCCAAGACTCCACGCCGACCCATCGAGTCCGTTCCGTCCACTGCGGTCCCTGTACCTCCTGCGCCCTCCCCTGCCGACGGTCCTCCTGCGCTCTCCCCTGCCGACTGTCAGTCAGCGGCGGCGGCCGGCTCGTCGTGCCCGCCTGGTGCCATGCCGGCGGCGCCTCCGCTCCGCCCTGCCCTCCGTACCCGCTCCGGTAGAGAAGTCCGCCCGCCTCTCCGGTTCCGACACGTCACGTTCCTCTCCGTTCCCCAGTGACGTGTCTAGGGAGGGGGTATACTGTAGCGGGTGCAACAGCGCTCCGTTGCTAGCGACGGCGCCGTAGCGTGTGCAACCCAGCGGCGGCGTCGTAAACTAGTAAATCCTTTTGATGCACGCAGATGTCAGTGATTGATTGACACATATGTCTTGTGATTGTTTTCTGCCTTATATGTTATCTCTTGTAACCGTAGCTGTTGTATTGTCACGCCTTAAGAGGGTAATCTAGGAGCGCAGGTGTGGAGTAATTTTTCTTTGTCCAACTGTCACTGTAATTTGTAATATTACCATTTAGACGCTGAAACTACCTATGCAAGGTAGCCTTGCTAGAAATATAGTGTGCCAATTTTTGTTCAATAAATCAGTACGATCCACGATCGGTAACTCGTTCATCCTAGTCAAGCTCAGAGCTACCGACACGGGCCCACATCGGGAGTCCCCTCCTCCCTTGGAGTTGTGTGGTGCCGACGGTGGCGGATGGTAGTCTCTGCCTTGACAATCCTTTCACTCCCTCTCACAACGAGAGGTGAACTACTAGCGGTATACACTGCTAGCGGTTCAAGTGGCGATCGGCTACTCTCAGCCGTGCCACACCTTTGCCGACCTGTTCAATCTTCATATGTACATGGTGTCATTCAGCACACCAAATATGAACGCGATCGGCCCAGCCGATCCCCAGATATGAAAAAGGAGCACGCACGTGCGCACGTGCAGATCAATGCTTTTGTCAACCTGTGCAATTTGCATATAAACATGATGTCATTCAGCACACCAAATATGAACGCGATCGGCCCAGCCGATCCCCAGATATGAAAAAGGGGTACGCACGTGCGCACGTGCAGATCAATGCTTTTGTCAACCTGTGCAATTTGCATATAAACATGATGTCATTCAGCATACCAAATATGGGCGCGATTGGCACAGCCAATCCCGAGATGTGAAAAAGGGGTGCGCACGTGCGCACGCGCTGAGGCAATTCGAAATCGTCCTAAGGTCACGGGATGTGTAGTGTGCACCCAGCCAAAACAACAAACAAATATTGAACCGTTTCCATTCAGCCGTTCCCGAGTTATGGTATGACGAGCTCTTTTGGAACCTCTCTCGTCGCACGTGACACGTGCTGTAACAGGCACTCATGAGTGATATCAATAGCACAGTTCAGGGTAGAAAGGATGCAGCCCCTCCCGAAAGAAGACCGCTCATCAAACAGTCAAACCGTTTTGGAGATACATGTCGATAAAAGTCATTACGGCGGCAGGTCGGGCCGAAAAGTTCAATTTTCCCAACTTCTGTTACGTTCCGTAACGAGTACGGTGGACGCTGCCAGTTTACGGCGACTGGTTGCCACATTTCAACTTCGTCTACAAAAGTCACAATGCTTGGGGAATCTTGAGAAATCTCTAGCTCATTACGTCCGTAACGGTTACGGCGTCATTACGGATCCGGTGTGAACCACGCATAAGTGTCACGTAACAGCAATGGGACCAGGGACTCTATATGAACTGGACCCAGGGTGCTCGCCAAGAAGACCAATGTCTCCATCCTATGACCCTTCCGGCTCTGAAATGGTCTTGTCAGACCGAAGGGGCATAACCCAACAAAACAAACCTAATTCGTTAGCTGGCTGCGTGGTGTAGTGGTTAGCGCACTAACCATGCGTTCGAATGACGCGGGGTTCGGATCCCATCGCCGGCTGGTGCTTTTGGCGTGTTGTCCCAGTAAACATGCCGACGTCGGCGACTGGGGGGCTCGAATCCCGCCGCCGGATGATATTTTTGGAGCGTTGTCCCAATAAACATGCCGACGTCGGCCCCGTCGGTCCAACGACAAACGATCTCGTCAACCTCGGCAAACGATCTCGGCCCGACGTCGGCTCGACGTCGGCTGGACTTCGGGTGGACGTCGGAACATGCGGGCATATCCGACGTCCAGCCGATGTCGGGCCGAGGTTGAACCGACGTTGGGCCGACGTCGGGCCGAGCCTCGGCCCGACGTCGGGCCGACGTCGTCATGTTTACTGGGTAAACACACTGTTACATTTTACTCCACATATTTTAAAATATGTTAACCCTCGCACGACCAGGCCATTTCTCATAACACGAACGACCAGGGGGGGGGGGGTTGTTACGACCCCCCCTGGCGTTTCGAAACGGAAGGTCGTAGAGCTTAGCGGAAAAAACCAACGGATTGCTCTCAACGAGATCTCGCGATTGGTGGTATATTTTTGGGTCCTAGGTCAACATTTGACCTACTTTTGACCGGTCAAAGGTCAAATTTTCGGAAAAATAGACTTTTTTCAACTTTCGGCGGCGATTGCGGCAAAACGGTGGGAGATATCGACTTGAAACCTTCACTATCGTGTTCCTTGATCAATTCTCTATCGTTTGGTATGTATTTCGTTTCCCTAGCTCTAAAAATGGCGTGTTGGGAGCGCCGGAAGTCGGCAAGGTCACAGTCGGCGGCAGAAATTCGAAAAATCAAAATTTAAATTTTTGAAATCTGATTGTATTTTTGGATTTGGGAGGTCCATTTGCTCCCTATAGAAGCTAATATTGCTGCATATTCCCATTGAGGTGACAAGAATTAGCAAAATAGTGGTTCGGGCGCTTTTCAAAAATAGTACCGGACGCTGTTCCTCTTGTGACGTCATAGCTCCGTGACCTGACCTGACCCGGTCAAATTTCTTATACCATATGATAGCCAATACTTGCCCCAACATGCATGGGAAGTTTCATCACGATCCATCAACCGATGTCCGTACCACCGGCAGGAAACCTCGGGCGTTGGCACTCAGTTTGTGAAAATCCGGCCGGAGGCTGTACCTCTTATGACGTCATAACTCCGTGACCTGACATGACCCGATCAATTTTTTTTCGGCAAAAGATGCGCAAAGGTTGCCCCAGAGGGTATTGAAAATTTCAGCCCGCTACGACAAGCCGTTTAGCGTGCACTTCGAAAAAACCTCAGGGGGGGGGGGTTGATACAACCCCCCCCCTCCCCCTAGGCGTTCTAGGGTTAATATTTATTTACTATTCTTTTCTATTTTGAAGTAAACGCACAAGGCGCGTAAAGCATAAGGCGTTCACAGGGCATTCGACACTAACCGGCCGGGAGCAGGAAGAACAGCAGCACGGCCGGGAACAAGTAGAACAGCGTGTCCACGAGCACCTCCAGACGCGTCTGGTAGCGCCGGCTCTTGATCCGCTGACGGGCGCGGATCACCTGCGTGTGGGGTCAGAGGGAGGCCAGTGGAATCATACAGGGTCAGAAGGGGCAATACGGGGTACTCGAAAGCATAGCAGCACCGTTTAAAACGGACCAGCAACATGTCTCGCTACGCCCATCTTGCAGATCTGACCTGCATTGGCCTCGTGCACAATACATATGATCTTCGGATCGATAAGAAAACGGGTGGGTCGGGTGAAATACCTACGTAAGGGCAAAGCAGCTTCCCAACGCCCATAAAGCAATACCAGACAAACAAAAACACGCACCATTGGTTTCCCTGTATCGAAAACGAGTAAATAAATTACATCGTAAAGTAAACAAGACAGCTCTCGCTTAACTGAAATCGTCAGAAGATATCTATACGATTTTTGCTATCCTGGCCCTATATTTCTCTCGAGCAATAAATTTATAAATGTGATAAGGGGCGGTTCACTCCGAAGTAAAACAGCCCCTGTGAAAAAGCGCACTTTATTTTTCCTTTTTGTGAATGGTCCGATAATACTAAAATTGCCATTTCGACAAACGTTAGGTTACAAATGCGAGAGCAACTGCTCAATTACCTTGTTAGAGGAAATAAAAACTGTAAACCATTGTTTTCATTGACATTAGAGGGTTTTGGATGAAAGGAGACGCATTTTAGGCAACATTACTTTTAACCGTTTTGTACTTGTGTCCACCAAGCTCACCTTGTTGCTGAAGAGATCCGATATATTCTTTAGCAGTATCCCATTGAATGGTATGCCAACCAGAGCATACAGGATGCATACCACACGTCCCAGAGTTGTGGAGGGAGCTATGTGGCCGAAACCTGTCCACACAACACACGCACACAGATATGGTCAATAAACACATCATTTTCGTCGTTCTCAATGGTAATCTCACGGTCCACGGTGAATGAGCCCGTAAGAATATCATTAGCCGCGTTTACATAGGGCTAGTTGCCAGATAGTGGAATTTCCACTAACAGAGGGTTCACGAGAAATACGCCATGGCTAATATCCTGGACGCAATTCGGTGTGCAGACGAAAATATGCATGTGAGTGCTAGAAATTCGTAAATTACATGATTTCATTGACTTTTTTTTTTGTTAAAAACACGTCATGACAAGCTCAGCAAATCTATTCATGGTGGCTTACGTGGCAAATTGGCTTTCCTTCGTGGGATAATGCCATTCTCATTAGCTCTACTTTGATTAGCGTATGACTGGTGTTCGTGTAAAATAAGCAATTTTCCCTATTTCCTTCATCAATTTGGTAGCTGAAACAGCTACCAATTTACTTCCACTATGACAGTTTCCAGTAACATATGCTACTGATTGGCTAATATTAGCCAATCAGATCTCTGGAGATCCCCGTAGTGCGTTACAACTATGACGCGGCAAAGACATATTTGGATATATCATTTCTGTATTGATATGCCTATCTACATACATTGCATTGGCCTTGTGTGGATGTCATGAAGAGAAATATTTTGGCCTAAGGTCAGTGAGACGCTAGTTGCTACTCTTCTATACGCTATGCCCTTTTTCAATATGATTACGGTGTCGTGTTCTGACTGCAGACTCCTGGTAAGTTTGTGCAGGTCTCACGGAAGGGGCGAGGGCGCTCTTTCGCTGTTCGATCCAGCAGGCAACAACAATGATTTTTTGTAAGGGAGTATCAATGGAAGTCACAAATTTATTTAAAAGTTGGTAAAGTTGTTTTGGTTTAAAAGCTGGTGCATTTGCCTTGTCAAGGGTATGGAACCTCAATATATTGCTAAGTCTCATATTTCCAGGATGTTGATAGGTATGTTTGGAAAAAGATGTTTTGATAATGTCGAGAAATGTAGCAAGGACTTTTCTATCTTCAAATCAGTTGCTTGCTACAGTTTCATGATATTAAGGTGTGCATGAAATTATGAGAAAAGGTAAAAAAATATGAACAAAAATTTCGTTAAAGGGACCCTCCCACCTTAACATTAGTTTTGAGTTGAGATAGCCAAGTTTGCGGCCAGGCTCAGAAACCACCATTTATCCTGGTCGCAACCCCCGCAGCTTTATGGTGTTCAAGAAATTTCTTCCCTTTACTTGCAGGGTGGGACCAGCGTGGTCCCTATCTCTTAACCATTACGGGAATCTGATGACGTCATCAGGCTTTCGAACGTCCGTTAAATGTTTGACTAAAACGTTTTGTAGCACGTGGTGGTATATGCTGCTTTGCGCGCAACAAATGCCGCACTTTCAAATAAAGTCGCTAGGAACAGCGGAGATCCCAAAAAGTAAACAAAAGTAAAAGTCTAATATCTTGAAAACCGGTGAATATTTTTCGATGAAATTTGGTAGATATTCGTTTTTGCTCTTTCTGAACCGAGCGACATCACTTTCATGCCAATTCATTAACTTTTTTGAAGGTGGGAGGGTCCCTTTAATTCATGATGCATGATAGAACAAATAATTTTCTTTTGTTGATTAAAGCAAGGCTTGCGACTGAACCATAATGTGCATTGACTGCTGCGCAGTGTCCCAAAATTTGTAGATGTGGGTGGGAAACGACATCCAAATGCAAATCATTTTCCACTCTCACCTCCAGTTTTCAAGCCCAATTTTCCACTCCCAATTCCACTGAGAAGGAGCAATTGCGGGAATGGTTGTTTTACATATGCTTTGACACAGTTGCAAAATTGGTACCTTCATACGTATATCATAGAAGTAATTACTGGTTATTATTATTGGAGGTTTTTTTTTACAGCATTCTCGTCAAGTAAAATACATTATCTTCTTTAAAAGGACCATAGTGTGAGGTGTAAATACAGTCTGTAAGGTTGTCCAGACTAATTGTGCCCCTATTTGTACAGCCTCGGCTGGAGCCGCAGCAGGCGCGCTACGGGGTTCCGGCGCCGACGAGCAGCCGAGCGCAGCAGGCCCGCCACCGGACTCCAGCGCCGACGAGCCGCCGGCCGCAGCGGGCGGGCTCCAGGGTTCCAGCATCGATGAGCCGCCAGCCGCAGCAGGCGGGCTCCAGGGTTCCAGCATCGATGAGCCGCCAGCCGCAGCAGGCGCGCCACCGGGGTCCGGCGCCGACGAGTAGTCGAGCGTAGCAGGTGCGCCACCGGACTCCAGCGCCGACGAGCCGCCGGCCGCAGCGGGCGCGCCACGGGGGTCCGGTGCCGACGAGCGGCCGAGCGCAGCAGGCGGGCCCCGAGGTTCCAGCGCCGAGCCGCCGGCCGCGGCAGGCGCGCCCCGAGGCTCCAGCGCCGATGAGCCGCCGGCCGCAGCAGGCGCGCTACGGGGGTCCGGCGCCGACGAGCAGTCGAGCGTAGCAGGCGCGCCACTGGACTCAAGCGCCGACGAGCCGCCGGCCGCAGCGGGCGCGCCACGGGGATCCGGTGCCGACGAGTAGTCGAGCGTAGCAGGTGCGCCACTGGACCCCAACGCCGACGAGCCGCCGGCCGCAGCGGGCGGACTCCAGGGTTCCAGCATCGATGAGCCGCCGGCCGCAGCAGGCGCGCCACGGGGGTACGGCGCCGACGAGCAGCCGAGCGCAGCAGGCGCGCTTTTGGACTCCAGCGCCGACGAGCCGCCGGCCGCAGCGGGCGGACTCCAGGGTTCCAGCATCGATGAGCCGCCAGCCGCAGCAGGCGCGCCACCGGGTTCCGGCGCCGACGAGCGGCCGAGCGCAGCAGGACTCCAGCGCCGATGAGCCACCGGCCGCAGCGGGCGGACTCCAGGGTTCCAGCATCGATGAGCCGCCAGCCGCAGCAGGCGCGCCACCGGGGTCCGGCGCCGACGAGCGGCCGAGCGCAGCAGGCGCGCTACTGGACTCCAGCGCCGATGAGCCGCCGGCCGCAGCAGGCGCGCCACGGGGGTCCGGTGCCGACGAGCAGCCGAGCGCAGCAGGCGGGCCCCGAGGTTCCAGCGCCGAGCCGCCGGCCGCGGCAGGCGCGCCCCGAGGCTCCAGCGCCGTTGAGCCGCCGGCCGCAGCAGGCGCGCTACGGGGGTCCGGCGCCGACGAGCAGTCGAGCGTAGCAGGCGCGCCACTGGACTCAAGCGCCGACGAGCCGCCGGCCGCAGCAGGCGGACTCCAGGGTTCCAGCATCGATGAGCCGCCAGCCGCAGCGGGCGGGCTCCAGGGTTCCAGCATCGATGAGCCGCCAGCCGCAGCAGGCGCGCCACCGGGGTCCGGCGCCGACGAGCAGCCGAGCGCAGCAGGCGCGCTTCTGGACTCCAGCGCGGACGAGCCGCCGGCCGCAGCGGGCGCGCCACGGGGGTCCGGTGCCGACGAGTAGTCGAGCGTAGCAGGTGCGCCACTGGACTCCAACGCCGACGAGCCGCCGGCCGCAGCGGGCGGACTCCAGGGTTCCAGCGCCGACGAGCTGACGGCCGTAGCGAGCGCGCTCCAGGATTCACGCACCGACGAGCCGCCGGCCGCAGCAGGCGCGCTACTGGACTCCAGCGCCGACGAGCCGCCGGCCGGAGCGGGCCGGCTCTAAGATCCACGCACCGACGAGCCGCGGGCCGCCGCGGCCGGCCTCCATACGGAGGACGACACAACATCACCGTTCAGGTAATCCGCGCTCCAGCTGCAAGGCGCGGCCGACTCGGGGTAAAGTGGACGTACAGAGGTACGAATCACTCTCCGCCCACCCCCGCCAGCCGCGCCTACTGAAAATGGGCCGCGCAACCCTTAGCAAAATGTCCAGGCGTATTGCATTTGAAGCAAATAACCTCTGCAGCACTTGTCTGCTGTCGATCCTTACTGGGCTTGGTACATTCCCTACGCCAGTGTCCCTCCAGGCCACAGTTCGGACACGGCCCCGGCGGTGAACGTCTGTGAGTCCTTTCCTGTCGTCCTGCCTGGAGTGCATCCACCTTCTTCTCCAGATTCGCCACAACCAGGGACAGCTTGGATACCTCATCCTCCAGGCGGTGCTCTTGAGACTGTTCCTCAATATGACGTACACGAGGTCCCATTACCTGCTCCAGCTGTCGAGCTCTTTGCAGTAGGTCCCTGTAACTTTCTGTTTCCTTCAGGGTCAGTAGTAACTGCACTCTCATAGCTTCATCAACATTGTTCAGAAATGTGGAGCGACAAACAGTTCCCAACTGTTCTTCACTGAAGGGAGCATATGCTTTCCTGCCAAGGCTCTTCAAAGCCTCGCCATACTGCATGACAGTTTCTCCAGGCATGCGTGAACGCTTGGACAGCATGATGGCATAATCTGTAGGGAGAGCTGGTGTATGATACTCAGCTTTTAGCGCCTTTTTCAGTGTGTGAATGTCAGTACACTCCATGGCAGGCAACTGGCGATAAAAATCAAAAGCTGGTCCAGTCAGGCAGGCAGGGAGCTGCAGGAACTGCTTTTGTTCTGACCACTCATTGGCTTTTGACACCACTTCAAAATGGGCCAAGAATCTTTCCACATCACCAGAACCATTAAATCTGTCTGGCTTAACAGGGGCACACGCCATGTCCTGTGTCCGTGGCTCCTTGGCCGCTACTTTAAAGAGAGTGCTTGAACTTTTTCATCCACGCTATCACAAAAACTCATTGACTTGCTGGAATTCTGCCACCTCAAGCGTCTTCGGAAGCAAGAGTGGGTTCCAGACTGGGTTGAATGGCTGCCTCCAAATGTGAGAAACTGTTCACTCAGAAATACAAGTATATTCAACCCAGTCGACGCTGTGGGCAAAGCGGGACAAACAGATAGTTAGAACACCTCCCAACAATGCCAACCACCGCATGCAAGCAATGCAAGGCGCTGCCATCGCATTCGCTTAGCATGCCAGATTAATCCAAAGTGGACGTGCAAACATGCCAACAGTACATG